TAGTGAGGGATAATTCACACACCCTACAACTCAGCCATTTAAAGTAGACAATTCAATACTTTTTGGTATGATCAGTGTTCTACACACCCAACTTTGTGTCTGTGTGTACACATACAAAACAGGAGACGCACGATCATGCCTGCTTGAGCGCCTTGGCATGTCCACCTAATTTTTGTGTACTCACCTCACCTGTGTGTCATGTGTACATGCTCCCCCAGGCACCCCCACTCCCCACAGCTGCCCTATCCTGACCAGGCCCTGATCCTTGCCCTCACGTCCACAGGTCAAGGTTGACAACCAGCATGACTTCCAGGACATCGCAAGTGTTGTGGCACTGACCAAGACATATGCCACTGCCGAGCCCTTCATCGATGCCAAATATGACGTGCGTGTCCAGAAGATTGGGCAGAACTACAAGGCCTACATGTGAGTGGAGAAACTGAGGCCCCGGGAGGGGTCCCCTGCCTTGCCCCATGCAGCCGAGGTGCCTCTGAGCCTCTGTCCCCTTGTTCCCCAGGAGGACGTCAGTGTCAGGGAACTGGAAGACCAACACTGGCTCTGCGATGCTGGAGCAGATCGCCATGTCTGACAGGTGGGCAGCCCAAACTCAGGGTGTGAGGGGAAGGGTGGGTGGGAGCGCAGCAGCTCAGGTCAGAGACTGACAGGCTTCCCCGCCCTTTGTCTTGGCAGATACAAGCTGTGGGTGGACACATGCTCAGAGATTTTTGGGGGACTGGACATCTGCGCAGTGGAAGCACTACATGGCAAGGACGGAAGGGATCACATCATTGAGGTGGGAGCACCCAGGGGTAGGTGGGGCAGAGGGAGGAACAGCTGCCAGGCAGCAGCAGTGCGAACGGAAGCACTCCATGGCACAGAGGTCCTCAGCCAACAGCAATGTGCTTGGTACACTGTAAGGTGCCTGGCAAACTTTCGAAGGGGCCATCCCTTGCAATGGCAGAACACTCAGTAAACTCTAGACTGAACTTGCACATCCCTGGTGAATAGCAAAACCCTTATTAGATTGTTAAGTGCTCTGGGAATTGAGACATCTTGGTGAATGACAATGCACTTAGTAACCTTTATTCTGTGAACTGGACCAACAGCAAAGCATTTTGGAAAGGACAAAGTGCCTAGAAAACCATGAAGCAGGGATCGGCAAACATTTTTGGTAAAGGAGCAGACGGTACATATTTTAGGCTTTGTGGGCCATGCAGCCTCTGCCGTAACTACTCAACTCTGCAAAAGCAGCCATAGATGATACGTTAAACAAAATAGGTGCGGCTGTGTTCCAAAAAACTTTGTTTATGGACATTGAAATTTAAATTTCATGCCATTTTCGCATGTTATAAAATCTTTCGAATTTTTTCGACTGTTATAAAATGTAAAAACCCATCCTTAGCTCATGGGTCACACAGAAGCAGGTGGTGGACCAGGTTGGGCTCGCAGGCCCTAATTTGCCCAGCCCTGCTCTGAAGCACCTTCTAAGCTGTAAGGTACCTTGGAACAGACAAACCTTCCTCACTGTGCACAATCAGTGCCTCAGACACTGGGGCTCAGTGGTGGCCATGCCCTCGGCCGACTGAAAGCACAGTGTTACTGCTGCCTCAGGTGCGAGGCCTGCCTCTCCCCTCAGGGATCCTTTCCTTCCCCCAGGTGGTGGGCTCCTCCATGCCGCTCATTGGTGACCACCAGGATGAAGACAAACAGCTCATCGTAGAGCTCGTGGTCAACAAGATGGCTCAGGCCCTGCCCCGGCAGCGACAGCGGGATGCCTCCCCTGGCAGGGGCTCCCACAGCCAGGTCAGGCCCCTGGCGCTGAGCTAGTGGCTTGAGCTAGTGTGGGGAGGCCGGCCCTGGGTCATACTGTGCCATGAAGCTGACAATCTGTAGGCTCACAGCATCACCTTTGCACACATGTGGCTGCGATTGCCAATTGTTTAAAACATTGATAAGCAGCTGCTGCCCTGACTTCCCTGAGCACCTCCCTGCCCTGCCCCTGGGAACAGGTCCCCCACCCCACAACCCAGCGTACCCTCAGCTCAGCCACAAGTGGGGCAACACCCAGCGCACAGGGAACCTGTGTCATCATTGGCTGATGCTCCACTGGCTGGTAACTATTTTTAACCTCTCCTGCTCCATTCCTCTGCCACAGACTCCCTCCCCAGGGGCCCTGCCCTTGGGCCGCCAGACCTCCCAGCAGCCCGCAGGGCCCCCGGCTCAGCAGCGACCCCCACCACAGGGTAAGTGAGAGGCTGGCGGTCTCAGTCCCCTCCCTCAGCCCGCCATCTCTTACCCGCTCACTCTCACGTGTGCTCACTCTCTCTCTCTCTCTCTGTCCCCCAGGCGGCCCTCCACAGCCGGGCCCAGGCCCCCAGCGCCAGGGACCCCCATTGCAGCAGCGCCCGCCCCCGCAGGGCCAGCAGCACCTTTCAGGCCTTGGACCCCCAGCTGGCAGCCCCCTGCCCCAGCGCCTTCCAAGTCCCACCTCAGCGCCCCAGCAGCCCGCGTCCCAGGCAGCGCCGCTGACCCAGGGTCAAGGCCGCCAATCCCGGCCAGTGGCGGGAGGCCCCGGGGCGCCTCCAGCAGCCCGCCCGCCCGCCTCTCCCTCTCCCCAGCGTCAGGCGGGCCCCCCACAGGCTACCCGTCAGACATCCGTCTCCGGCCCGGCTCCGCCAAAGGCCTCTGGGGCCCCACCGGGCGGGCAGCAGCGCCAGGGCCCGCCCCAGAAACCCCCAGGCCCAGCCGGCCCCACACGCCAGGCCAGCCAGGCGGGTCCCGTGCCCCGCACTGGGCCACCCACCACGCAGCAGCCTCGGCCCAGCGGCCCCGGCCCCGCTGGACGTCCCAAGCCACAGCTGGCCCAGAAACCCAGCCAGGACGTGCCGTCACCCGCCACCGCCGCTGCAGGGGGACCTCCGCACCCCCAGCTCAAGTAAGGGGACCCCTACAGCAGCCCCCGCCTTGCTGCTCACAAAGCGGGCCCCTGCCCCAGTAGAGTAGCCCTAGCTCCCTTGCTCCTCAGACCCAGGTCCTATGCAGGGGTCCCACGAACTCTCTCCAGCCTGAGCCAAGCCCTTCCCCCAAGCTTTCGCTCCTCCCGGCCCACCAGAGGCTCCACACCCCCACCCCAGGAATTTGGTGCTAGAATCCCATAGAAACTGCCCTCTGTTCGAATTCCTCCTCATAGGCCCTGGGAAAGTTTCCTCCTCCAAGGCCTCCCAGGCACCTGGCTGACCCACCGTCTGCAACTTCCTGCCCAGCCCAGAGCCTTCCCTGCCAAACTGGCCCTCCCCCTCCCAACCCATCCCTAAAACTCCTGGCCTGAGTCCTAGTCCTCCTATCATCTCGCTCTTCCACTCCACCCTCATACTTTTCCTCCTTCTCCACATCCTTCTGGCCCATCTCAGTCTCCCTGAGAATCATCAACCATCTGCTTCTTCTGGTCCATTCCAACTCCCACTCCAGCTCAGACGTCCTCCCTGCCCCACCCAGTTGCTCTGCCTTAGGCTGACTTGCCCAACAGCCTGTCCTTGGTCCAAGCCCTTCCTAGGCCCTCCTGGACACCTCACCCTTAGACTGGAAACCTCCCTGCTCATCTTCCCCTTTGTATCAAACTAGCCAAGAATTCAGAGAAGCTTCTGCCCAGGACTCTTCCCATGAATCCCACACTTCACCCTGGATCCAAGTCCTCCCAGCCTGTCCCAGATCTCGCCTCCCTGGCCCAGGACTCCACCCACTCCACCTGAGTCCTCCCAGCCTTGAGAACCTGTTAGGGTCCAGGCCCATGGTGGCGGGTGGGGAGGTCACAGGCACAGCCCCAGAATCAGAGGGGCAGGGCTGGGGCCGGGCCTGGGGTAACGTTGTGTTTCTCTCCCCTTCCTCCCCTTCCTCTTCCCCCTTCCTCCCACGCCTCCACCTTGTCTCTCTCTAGCAAATCCCAGTCTCTGACCAATGCCTTCAACCTTCCAGAGCCAGCCCCGCCCAGGCCCAGCCTTAGCCAGGACGAGGTGAAAGCTGAGACCATCCGCAGCCTGAGGAAGTCTTTCGCCAGCCTCTTCTCCGACTGATACCCCACACTGAGAACCCCAAAATCCCTGGGCAACCCTTCTCTGGGCCCTGAATCCATTTCTCACTTTTGGAGTCTCCACATCCCTTGAGAACCCATCTCCCGGTTCTCCAAGATTCCACCTCTCATTCCTCAAGATCCCTGAGTACCTTGAGAAACCTGACTCCTCCTGGCCCTAAATCCAGTTCTCACATGTGGAATCCCCAAGTCCTTTTAGAACCCCACTCCTGGTCACTTCAAGATCTACTTCTGTTTTAGGACCTCCAGATTCCTGAAGACCTCCGACCCTGGTTTCCCCAGAGGGCCTTTTCCTTCCTGGAAGTGCCCAAATACCAGGCAACCCATTGCAAAATCCCTTCCTGGAGCCCTGAAGTTCCTGGAAAACCCTATTTTTGGTCCCAAATCTCTCCAGCACACCTATTTCCCATCAGAATTTTCCAAATCCTCAAGAAACCCCTACTGTTGAGCCTCTTCCCATGGATCTTCCATCCCTCTGAAGATCCACATCTTCAAATGCCACCCAACACCAGCCCCCTCAACCTCATTCAATACCTTGGGAGCTCCTCCCACTTCCAGGACCCCTCGGTTCCCCCAGGGACTCCCTCCCCAGTTTCCTGCCTCTGACAGCTGTCTTTAAATATGCAAATTCCACTCATCTTCCCAGAATCCTTTGCACACGGAAGGCCAGTGGTCTCCGCTTCCCCACCTTTGCCGTGATGTCTGTGTCTGTGACTGACGTGGCCTCCTCTTGTGCCGTGCTTGGCATATGTGGTCCTCGTTCATCGTGCCGCCTGTGGTGATGCGTGCAGTGACGCTGTTTATGTGGTCCGCACCTCCCCCTGACCTCCACTCCTTGCCTGGACTCATCCCACCCCTCAGCGGCTCTGAACCCCAAGAGAAGAGTCGGGAAACAAAATAAACAAGCAAAGGCCCAGCAGAATTCTGTGCTTCTTGGTGAAGAAAGAGGGGAGTCCTTGAATGGCGGGGGAGACACAAAAGGGACCCCCCAAAATCCACATGGGGTGCTGGGAACCCCAAAATCCAGTGGAAGGCACATCGGGCACAAATTCCAGAGAGGTTCTGAGTGGAATCCCTGCCACAAATCCCAGCCATTGGAGATGGAGGAGCTCCCAAAATTTAGAAGTATCCCCAAAGCCAAGAGGAAACCAAATGATGGAGGAGGCAGGGGGCTCAGTCTTTGGGGGGACCCCAATTCCAGAAGAACTGGAAAAGCACATGGGGACCCCCCTCATCTCCCAGGGTGGGGAATGGGGGATCCTGAGGCAGCATCAGGGCAGAGACGAACATTGATTGGCTGGTGGGCTAGGCTCCTTGGCGTGGAGGGCTGAGACTGGCTCCCCGGTGGCTTGGGCGGGGCCTAAGGCACAAGGCGGGCTGCGCTGAGTAGGCAGGCAGGCAACTCATCAGCCTGGGTGCGGTGCAAGGAGGGTTCCGAGGCACTCCGCTCAATCTTGGGGAGTGACCGTTGCAGCAGCTCAATTGTGGCCAGGATCTGAGGGCAGGTGGGGGTGAGGAGGGGTGTCCAGAGCCCTATGGGCATCCCAACAGCCCCAGGCCCCAGCCTCATGGGGAAACACACACACACAACCTCTGAGCTTTCACATTCACATCTGCCTCCATCTCAGTCTTCCTCCATCCCAGAGTCACCCACCCAAAGTGTCCAGCCCTCCTACCCAGCCCACCTGGGGGAAGAGGGGCCGTTCCTCCCGCTGGAACTTGAGGCAGTCAGACAGCAGGCGCCGCATGGCCTTAGGGCAGTTGCTAGAGATTTTGCTGAGGTCCGGGGACAGATAGCCACGGCCCACCATAAAGATAATCTGGGGGCAGAGGGGGGCAGGAAAGGGGTGATCTGGGGTCAGGGGCTGGGAGGCCCAAGGAATTTTGTATTGAGGGGCTTGGGAGGTTTATTTTTAGCAAACTGGGGTACTGTCAGTATCGGGGCCCAGAGGATTCTCCATCGTTGAGGACTTGGGAGGATTCTCTGCTTTCAGAACAGAGGGATTCAAATTTGGGGTTCAGGATTGTAGGTATCTGGGGCTCAGAGGATTATAGGCCCACGAGTTTCTAGGAGGCTTAGGGACCTGGAAAGTACTGAGTCTCAGGGAAACATGGAGTTCTGGGTCTGGGGGAGCTTGTACTTCTGTGCGGGTCTGAGGCCTAGAGGGTTCTAGGTACCCCGGCCCTGAGGCCTGCTAGATACCTGAAGGCCTAGGTGACTGTGGGTGCCTGTGACTATTCCAGAAGCACAAAGGGGCTCTGTTTCTGGGGAGAAATGGGATGCTGGGAGAAATGAGATCTGGGGGATTTTGAGTACCCAGAGCAGAGGACTATAGGCGTCTAGGGATACAGAGGGCTTTGGGGTATGTGGGGGCCTTGGGGGATTCTAGGTATAGAGATTCGGGGTATTCTGGACTTCGAGGATTTTTGTCCCAGAGGGCTGTGGATGTGAGAAGAGGGAAGTTGGGGTAGGGGAGACCCAGAGAATTTATTGTAGGTGTCTGGAGCCCAAGAGATTCTGGGAGTCTTTATCCCACAAAATTTTAGGTTTCTGGGGAAAGGGTGGCATTCATCAGTGCAAAAAGGAGGGGATGTGGGGTATGGATGCCTGAGGGGATCCCTCAGCCCAGGGAACTGTGGGTAAGGTGTGGGGCTCACCTGGTCACGGCAGCCAATGTGGCTGTAAGGCAGTGAGCCAGTCATGAGCTCGTAGAGCACAACCCCGTAGGCATAGACATCTGACTGGAAGCTGTAGGGGTTCGGGTCCTGCATACGGATCACCTCAGCTGCCTACAACAGGCCAGAACAGGCAGGGGGACCACAGAGGTCAGCAAATGGCTGGTCCACAGTCCCAGATCCCACTGGCCACACAGCGTACAACTCAGAGCCACCCATATGAGGTGGGACGTGAGGAGTCCAGACACCCACACCTGGCACAGGCATCCCCGTTCCCACTCAGCCCCACACACCCCAATCCTGGAGCCTACATCCCCACGTACCCCCCATCCAGCCTGGCCCAACTCACCATCCACAGCACAGAGCCTGAGGGCTGCTCCAAGGGCTGGGCCCCGCTCCATCGAGTCTTCACTGTGGCCAAGCCAAAGTCACCGATCTTCACCGTGAGCCCCTCATGTAGGAAGATGTCCACCAGGGTCAAGGAGCACTACAGGGACTCCTAATAGCCATGCCTCTCACCCTGCCTGGGAGGTTCCTATTGGTGCCCTTATACCACTCATCCCTCTGATCCTGACCAGGAGCCCCTTAATATCACACCAACTATCTACAACCTTGACACGGGCAGGGAATGCCTGCTAGTGCCCCCCACACTCAGCCCCGCTGTTGACTTCTGAACAGGAAGCCCCTCGGAGGGCACCTGACCTCACTATGCCTCTGATGCTGACCATAATGCCCTCCACAACTGTCACACATCAGACTCTAACCAGAGTTCCCAAGAACAGTACCTGAACCAGCCACACCTCTGACTTCAGACTAACAGGCTGCCATTAAAGCCCCCTGGCTGGCCACAGTTCTGCCACCTGGCAAGGAGCTCTGGGACACATGCCCCTCTTTTGTAATTCCCAGAACCCCCACAAGAGGCATCCTTCTAAGCCCTTGCGCCCCCACCTCAACCCCAGTCCAGGGACAGATACTGTTAGACTTGAGATCTCGGTGGATGATGTTCTTGGCATGGAGGTAGCTGTGGGGGTGGAGGCAGGTGGTGGATTGGCTGGGGGTTACCTCATTTCCCCCACCCTTTCCCCCCACCCCTCCCCAGGCTGGGAGGCTCACTCCATGCCCTGGGCAGTCTGCCGGGCCACATCAATGAGCTGGACCATGTCGAAGCGCGTGTCGGCCACATGCAGGTGATGGTAGAGGCTGGAGCCTTCACACCACTGTGTGATGATGGCGAATCCCGGCCGGGTCATGAAGCCCATAAACAGCAAGATGTTGACATGTCGCGTCTTCCTGCAGGCAGGGAGGGCAATGTCAGAGGTGGGGAGGAAAAATAGTGACTGTCACTTACTGTGACTTACTGTCACAACAGGAGTGGCACCGTTCTTTACCTTCTTCGGTCATTCATTTTCACCCTGTCTTTTGGGGCACTCAGGACCACAGCATTGCCAGATTTCATGAATTTGTGAGATGTGTTTACTGGGCTATGATTCTCTGCTGTGGGCTTATATGCGGAGCTTCCCCATCCGGAGCTTCCCCATCCGAGTCTCCCAACAAAAGCAGGAGGGAGGAATTGCTGCCCCTCCCCCTCCCTGCCTACAGCAGCATTTCTAATCATTAACATCCCCCACCCCTCTGACTCTGACCATTACCTGGGTCTGTGATCATCTCACAGATGAGAAGGTAGAATGCCAACCTTCCTCATTGATGTATCAATATAATATGGATAGATGCAGGATTAAAATGTCGGTGATATGTGATGATTAGAGCCTGTTCAGCACCATGAGAAGCTTAGAGGTAAAGAGCTTGGAGTCTGGACTCATCTTCAAATCTAGGCCTCACCAGGTACTCACTGTACAACCTTGGGAAGGACATTTAACCTCTCTGGGCGTCAGGTTCCTCAACTGTAAAACTGATCATTGTATTAGCTACCTTATTCTCTGTAACATAATTGTGCCCATTTGACAGAGAGGAGAAGCCCATGCCGGCATCCCCCGGGTTGGTAGAAGCTATCCAGTACTACCTGTAGTATATAGGTATACAGTACTATACTACATAGTAACTATAGCAGCAAAAAGGAGACACCTGGCTTTCTTAGCATGACTAGATGAATACTGTATTGATTACATATTATAGCAATTATAAAAATTAAGCAATGATTAGATTATGGTGATGATAATATTGTTTAAATCAAGGCATTAGAATTAATGAATAACAAGAACCAACACTATAAATAGAACATTACCGTTGTAGTCCAAGCAGAGGGGAAGGAAAGATACAAGCCTTCCTGGCAATGCGGTAACGAGAATGGTGGCCCACACCCAGACCCAGTTCGCAGCGGCAAATAAGAAGACCCACATTTTGGAGGCAGAGCCATTCATTAATAACCCAAACAACTGCATGATCACAGGTCCTCTAAAAATACCCATTTCCCAGAGGGGAAAGGGACGCCCTTCAGAAAGAAACAACTTCTGATGATGGTTTAACAACACAAACACAGGTGATGTCCAGGAAGCACTCCAAGCATGGCCTCTTCCCAGAGAGGTGCCAAGGCCGGGCCTGCCACTCCCATCCACGCAAATGTGCCACCTCACCTGAGCACCTGCATCTCATTCTTGAAAGCTTGGGCCTGCTCAGCTGTGGGCTGGGACACCTTGAGCACCTTCACAGCCACATCGCCATGCCACCGCCCTCGAAACACGGTGCCAAACGAGCCCGTCCCGATCCTCTTCAGCAGCTGCACCTCACTGGGTGGTACTTCCCAGTAATAGCCTGAGTCCCGGTACCCCAGGTTCTTCTGTGGGCCAGATGGGTGGCATCTAAGAGGCCTGCCCACATCCCTCATCCCACATCACTCAGCCTTGGTGCTCCCAAAAGGATCTCCCTCAAGCATACCACTTTCTTCTTGTCATCGGCCAAGGACTTCCGCTCACGCTGCTCTGCTGGTGACTTGGAATGTGGGGACTTCCTCCCCGAGGACACGCTGGCTGGGCTGGGGCTCCCCCGGGGGGTTCCATCACCACCTCCTCTACTACTGGCAGCTGCAGTTGCAGAAAGGATATGAGTGGAGGCAAGTGGGGCAGCGGGGGTCAGGGTGCAGGCACGGGGGACTCACCATCAGTGCTGAAACTCTGGCCAGTGAGCTAGAAGAAGAGGGACAGGAGTCAAAAAGAGGGCATGGAGGCCAACAGGAATGGCTCTCCCCTCTGCCCAGTGGTCCCTGGCATTGTTCCCCACAGCACCAACCTGGATGAGGTTGGAGTCCATGGGGGCCGTGGTGCTGACCATATGGACGTTGGGAGTGGATGTGGAGCGGATGCGCTGCAGGGGGGCGTTGGCCGGGGCAGGGAAGGGGAAGTGCTCCGGGTCACAGTGCTGAGTGTGGGGCCTGCCAGGTGAAAGGCTGTGAAGTCACTGCCAGGAATCAGAGAACCAAGAAAGCCCCCACTCCACCCCCAGCCATAAACATGCATTTAGCTCACACAGAGCGAATGTCCACTGGCAGTACTATTATTCATTGCTTCAAGAAACATTTATTGAGTGCCTGCTGTGTGCCAGATACCATTCTAGGTGGTGGAGATAAAACTGTAAAACAAAATAACAGTTCTTGCCCTCGTGGGGCTGAAATAAAAAACAAATATATAATATGCCTGATGGTGATAGGTGCAATAAAGAAAAATAGTAAAGCAAAATAAGGAGACACAAAGTGTTCCTAGAAAGTGTCAGGAAAGGATTCTCTGAGAAGGAGGTGACATTGGAGTAAACTCCTACAGGCAGGATAGCAAGCCACACAGATAGTGGGGAAAGGGGAATGTACCATATTTTATAATTATATATTATAATTACATGTACTCTTCAAATGTTATATAATACATATCATCTATATTAAAATAGCAATGTTTTAAAGTATACATATTACCATATTCTATGTTATATATACGTTATACACGATATATGCTAAACATATTGTAGTTACAAAAATATGTTAATGTTCACTTCACTATCCTGAAATGAAACTCAAAGGTAATTAATGCATATACACTCATAATTTAAAATAATATAATACCCTAACTTTATTTTATGTATCATATAAACATGTATGATGTTCTACATTATATAACATTATGTAATACAACATGATACAATAACATAAATATACCATAAAATATGCACATTATAAAATATATATTAGAGCAATAACATATTTTAATATAGCTATAGTTTTGTATAATATTTAACATAAAGAAGCAATAAAAGGGAAGTAATTTATGATAAAATAATACATATTTCAAAATGGAAAGGCTTGAGTATGGTTATACTAGAAGAATTAGCAAAGTAGTTAGATGCTTATAAATATATTTATAATTAATAATAAAAAGAACTGATTATTTACACTATACCAGATCCTGTTCTAGGCACTGAACATGTCTTAACTCATTTAATCCTCAGCAGAACCTTATATGGTAGAAAGTATCATTATCCCCTCTTTACAGATGAGAAAACTGAGGCCCAGAGAAATCAGGTGACTTGCCCAAGGTCCCAGTTTCATGCCCTTACTCACACTTGTAGGTGCTCAATAAATGTTTGTCAAGTAAACAAATGAATAAAGTATGGCTTGTGGTCTACAAGAGTCCCCAGATCTTTTTCTCCCCCAGTAGCCCTTCACCTAAGGCACCCCTACCTGGGACCCTGGGGGGTTAGCAACTCATTCAGGGGGCGGTTCGAGGGAGCCTCATGTTGTCTGGAGCCTCCGGACAAATCCTGGACACTGTGGTAGAACCTTGAGGGCATGAAGGGTATAAAGTAAGGGGACACAGGTCAGCTGTCTGTAAGGGCCTTGTGGCTGGGTCTCTGTGCTCCCCATCCCCCCACCCACCCCAGGCTGGGCTCACTGTTGGCGGTTGGTACTCATGTCAACACAGACTGTGGGGACCTTGGAGGAACAATGCTGGTGGAACTTGTAGCCACAGGTTTGGCAACGGAAGCCATGGAACAGAAACTTAAGGCAGAAGTCACAGAATGCCAGGCTGAAGAAGGTCTTCCGTACCTGATGCCGCAGAGCAGGGAAGTTTGAGACCTGGTCAAGGATACTCCCCACCATGATCCGCCCCCACCGTCCACCCTGCACTCACAAAATTGTGCATGGTCAGCGGGACATCTTCAAGGACCTCGACAATGAGCTCCTCGCCATCCAGGGGAGCAATGGCTGTGTCCCAGGCAGTGACTGTCTTTCGTCTGCAGGGGGCATGGAAAGGAATGAGTGGGAGGGTGGGCAGGGGCCATGGTGAGGCAGGGAACCTCCACAAGTCCCTCCAAGCCTGCTACCCACAGGGTCATGTCTGGCAAGTTTAATTCTCATCATAGCAACTCTAGGAATTAGTCATTATCCTTGCCCCCACTTTACAGATGGGAACAGGCTCAGAGGGATAAAATGACTGGCCCTGGGCCACAAGGGTAATGAGAGGCAGGACGGTGTGAAGAGTCCATGCTCTGAAATGGAAGGGGAGAAGCAAATGAAACTAAACTACATCTTAGAAGCGCTAAGCCAGCCCCCGAAAAGGGGGCTGAGGAGGCACTGAAACAACAAATAAAGTGCACTGTGTGAACTGCATAAAAAATTAAGGAACCCCACGAGAGAGGAATAAATAAGGTCAGCAAGACCCAACTCAGCAGACAAAGAATGGGGAAAATGAGGAAGAAGACAGCTGATGAAGTCATGACATCGTGAAAGGACAAAATAGATGAAATCTGGGAAGAAGTGATGGACCAGGGTGAGGACTTGGGGGCCAGGGGAGAATGAGTTGGTTGACCTTACAGGCCAATGAACCAATGAAGTAACAAAACAAAAAAAGGATGAACTCATAGATTACTTGAACTACAGTAGTCCTCCCTTATCTGTGGTTTCACTCTCCACGGTTTCAGTTACCTGTGGTCAACCGGGTGGGAAAGTATTAAATTGAAAATTGCAGAAATAGACAATTCATAAGTTTTAAATTGCGTGCATTCTGAGTAGCATGATGAAATCCTGCACCATCCCACCCAGGATGTGAATCATCCCTTTATCTAGAAGATTCACACTGTTTATGCTACCACCCATCACTTAGTAGCCTGCTCAGTTATCAAACAACTGACTCAATATCATAGTGGCTGTCTTCAAGTGATCGCCATTTTACTTAATAATGGCCCCAAAGCACAGGAGTAGTGTTGGTGGCAATTCGGACATGCCAAAGAGAAGCTGTAAAGTGCTTCCTTTAGGCAAAAAGGTAAAAGTTCTTGACTTGAAAGCAAAGAAAATCATATGCTGAGGTTGTTGAGATCTACTGTAAGAAAGAATCTTCCATTTTTTTTTTTTTTTTTGAGACAGCGTCTCGCTCAGTCGCCCAGGCTGGAGTGCAGTGGCGCGATCTCGGCTCACTGCAAGCTCCGCCTCCTGAGTTCTCGCCATTCTTCTGCCTCAGCCTCCCGAGTAGCTGGGACTACAGGCGCCCGCCACTACGCCCGGCTAATTTTTTTTTTTTTTGTATTTTTAGTAGAGACGGGGTTTCACCGTGTCGGCCTGGATGGTCTCGATCTCCTGACCTTGTGATCCACCCGTCTCGGCCTCCCAAAGTGCTGGGATTACAGGCGTGAGCCACCATGCCCGGCCGAATCTTCCATCTTTGGAACTGTGAAGAAGGAAAAATAAATTCATGCTAGTTTTGACGTCATACCTCATATTGCAAAAGCGACGGCCGGAGTGCATGATACATGCTTAGTTAAGACGGAAAAGGCATTACATTTATGGGTAGAAGACAAGAATAGAAACATGTTCCGGCTGATAGCAATTGGGTTCGGTGCTATCTGTGGTTTCAAGCATCCACTGGGAGTCTTGGAACACGTACCCTGCAGATAAGGGGGGACTAAAGACTAAGGGAAGACTAATGGAAGACTCTATGATAAAGAACAGAAGGAATCAAATGACTGAGGAGGGGATGGGAGGTGGGGCACCCAGTGGGTGGGCGTGGGGCTGCCACACTCACCCCTTGATGAGTCGGTAGACCACACAGCAGTCCTGATTTAGACCCCGCACCTTCAGGGCCTTGTCTAGAGAGTCGTAGACACTCATGCCATCCCGGACAGTCACCTGTGTGTATGTGCAGATGTAGGGGTCCTCATTGCCCAACAGAGGCCACAGTTGATGTTCCCATCCTTTTGCAAAGGCCTCCCCCAACCGTTGTCACCCTTTTGATCCCAGAGTTACAACTGGGTCCATCCACAGCCCCTGCCATTTCGCTTCCATGACTCACCACCGTGCGTTGCTTGTTGGGCAGGTACACTTTGACGGTGCCCACTGCCCGGGACGGCTCGGCCCCATTGGCAGGGGGGCCCCGTGGTGGCTCCATGGAGCCTTAGACTTTGTCAAGATGGGCTGAGGTGGGGCTGGGCAGGTGCCATGGGGCTCCTACAAGAAGGCAGACAGAATTCAGAGGTCCAATAATGATAGTCTGGAAGCAAAGTGGCAGGGGACAAAATAAAATTCAAAGTCCAGGCTCCTGTCGCCCCCTGCAGCCTAATTTTCACATGACAGCCCAAGAGATCCTGCTCACATCTGAAGTCCTTCTAGTTCCTCCTCTGCTCAGACCCTCCTGTTGCTTTTCTCACTCATGAGTGCCAAGGTCTCAGCTTCACTGCACAGGGTTGGGGGGGGAGAGAACAAGGAATGGGGACAGAGCATACTGTCCTGGAGGGTACAGGAGCACAGAAGACTCTGTGCTGGGGACCAATGGGGAAGTCAATACACACTGCACTGAGCTGTCAGGTACATAAGAAGCACGAACAGAATGTCCTGGTTGTTGTTTTTTTTTTTTCTTTGACAGAGTTTCGCTCTTGTTGCCCAGGTTGGAGTGCAATGGCACGGTCTCAGCTCACTGCAACCTCCACCTCCCAGGTTCAAACCATTCTCCCGCCTCAGCCTCCTTAGTAGCTGGAACTACAGGTGTGTGCCACCACGCCTGGCTAATTTTTTGTATTTTTAGTTGAGATGGGGTTTCACCATGTTGGCCAGGCTGGTCTCGAACTCCTGACCTCAGGTGATCCACCGCCTCAGCCTCCCAAAGTGTCCTGCCTTTTTAACAGAGAACGGGGGAAGTGCCAGATACTCTGGTGAGGGAGGAGTCGCAGGCAGGGTGATGGGAAAGAGAGGATCATGAGATATTGCCCTTAGTGTGGGGAAGATGGAGGTTGCACCAAACATATCCTTAAAGGGCACTGTGGACATCCCTAAGCCCTGGGGTGTAATGTTGATGTTAGGACCACAGACACCGTGTTAGGTGGCTAATGGAAGTCCCAAGACTTTATGATGAGGAGTTCATGGGTGGGGGTCACTACATACTATGCGGAAGGGAGATGTAACAGGTGTCACTAGGGACTGTAATGGGGAGAAGGGTGGAAATGGAAATGACCAGACAACGAGCCAAACTGGGGAGGTAATGGTGGATCACCAGACACTGTCATAGCAAAAGGAGAAGGAAGGTATGGTGTTGCGGGGAGAAAAATGGAGGTAAAGAGGGAGCTCCAAAATTCTCCTTGACAACCAGTGAGGGGGTCACAGGCACATTACTGGTGTAAACTGAATGGGGGATCATGGAAGGCGGTTACAGAGGCGAGAATCCTGACATTCTCCCCCCGCAGGGGGTCAGACACTGATCCAGAATAAGGAAACCGGGGAGTGAACCCCGTTTCCACACACTCCCCGCAGTTGGTAAGGAAAGGTCATTGGACACCTTAGGGGGTTTAAGACGGAATCCCGGCACCAGTCGGTAGGGTCCCGCCTACCAAAGGGCTTCCGGCTCTGCGCAGGCGCACCACCACTAGCAGCGGGCGAAACCATCACCCGCAGCCTTGCCCGCCTATTCCTGTTACCCACCCCACCCCCGCTGTCGACGATGGTCTCGCCCCGGGTCAAACCACTCCTCCGGTTCCGGGCGGGGGACGCCGGGGCCCGGGCGCAGCCATCCTGGAGCTGAGCTTTCGGTCCGGGCGCCCTGCCCGTGCCCGGCAGCCGCTCCAGAAACCGAGCCCTCCCTGGTCCGCCCTCACCTGTCACGCCGCTACAGCCACCGCCGCCTCCATCTTGGGCCTGTCTTCTTGTTTCCTCACAGAGTCCGCCTTCGCCGTCTCTCGGACTCTCGTTATTGGCTCTGCGGGACTCATCCTTCCACTCTTATTGGATCAAGGTCACGTCTGTCAAGGCAAGACCAACGGAATGTGAGTCGTGTTCCGGATTAGGAGGGGCAGCCTGAAACGTCAAGATCGGGGGCAAGCGCAAGTCCTGACTCGCGCAGGCGCAGTTGGGGCAAGACCTGCGTGCCTAGGGCTTTAACCTCAGTAGTGGCATAGACGAATAAAGCAGGACTTTTTAAGGTCATTTGGGGCTGACCTTAGGGCTCTGGCATCTGGACGGAGAAATCCTTAAGTACCCTTTTTGGGCCAGTGCCCTAAGCACCCTTTTATTATTTTCCTGTGTCTCAGTTTTACCATCTTTGAAATGGGTTGGAATCAGAACAAATGATCGGCGATGTTCACCGGCTCTAGGAGACTGTAGTTCATAGCCTTTGAGGACAGCGGGTCTCTGGTGTGGTGGGGGTTGGGGGGCTGGCCCTAGGAGGGGCGGCCTTCTGTCTGGGAGGCTTCCTTTAGGAATGGGGTTGATTAGGATTTTGAAAAACTAGTCACAGGTGGCCAGGTGAAGAGGGAAGTGCGGTGAATGGAGCACGATGCCAGTCAATGTGTGGAGGTACTGTGGGGTAAACACAAATTTTTAAAAATCGAATTTTCCCTGGTGTCAAAAGAGAGAGACGTCTCTCTTAGAGCATTTCCTTTAGAAAACTTGTAACTGTAAAATTTTCTCTGTCCCTTTGAGATGTATGTAAGTCTTTTAAAATGCTAGATCTCTTGCCAGTTTTACAACCCCGGAATGTTTTTCTTAAGAGCCTCGTAGCCATCTCTTTGATGAAATGTAAACATCAATGAAAATAGCACCCCTGTCTTCCCCTGTCTTCATGGGAATTTGATCTGCGTGCCTGGCTTCAAGTTATTACCTGCTTGTCATAAAAATACGAGTTTTCGTTTTCCTTTGGATAAAGGCAATTAACTAACACAGATAGCCACACCAATTACTAGGTGAATTTGGGATGAAGTATGTGTACCAAATGGTGCTGTCAGGTTTCTTACTTGAGCACAAGTTACTGTTTGAGAATATGTTTGTAATGGGCTGTATCTGCCTGTTACATAAACGGATGAGATTTCTTTTGTCTTTGAAACCTCTTTAGCCGATTGTTTGTGATGTGCATCACAGTCTGGTGTAGTGCTTATTCAGTAATAAAACTTTCCATTCTTGCCGGGTGTGGTGACTGATGCCTGTAATCCCAGAACTTTGGGGGGCCAAGGCAGGCGGATCACTTGAGGCCAGGAATTCGAGACCAGCCTGGCCAACATGGCAAAACCCTGTCTCTAGTAAAAATGCAAAAAAAAAAAAAAAATCAGTTGGGTAACTCAGCCTCTTGAGTAGCTGGGACCACAGGCGCCCACCACCATGCCCGGCTAATTTTTATAGTTTTAGTAGAGACAGGATTTCACTATGTTGGCCAGGCTGGTCTCAAACTCCTGACCTTAAGTGATCTGCCCACCTCGGCCTCCCAAAGTGCTGGGATTACAGGCTTGAGCCACCACACCTGGCCCCAACTCCACTTTTCTATTTGAATCTTCACCATTTAATGGCTAAATAAAATTTTTAGAGAGACAGAATCTCACTATGTTGCCCAGGCTGGTGTCAAGCTCCTGGTCTCGTTCTCCCAACACTCTAGGATTATAAGCGTGAGCCACCATGCCCAACTCCAATGGCTAAAATTAAAAAGACTGACAATACTACGTATTGATGAGAATGTAGAGCAATTGGAACTTTCATACATTGCTATTGGGAGTGTAAAGTGGCACAAGCACTTTAGAAACAGTTTGGTAGTTTCATATAAAATTAAACATAGACCTGCCATGCAATTCAGCAATCTCACTCCTAGGTATTTACTCTAGAGAAATGAAAACACGTGTCCAATGGTGTGCTGGTAAATGTTTAACAACCAACTCTCCAGGAAGAAGATAGCTCTAATTTGTACTGTCCCCGTGGCTTATTTCAGGCTACTGATGTGACAGTCGCTGAACCAGATTTAAAAGAGATGCACAAAATCTGCTCTGGTGAGCCAGCTACAACATGCTACTATTGCAGTATATCTGCAAAAAAACTTGTATGCAAATGTTGAGATTAGCTTTTTCATAATATCAAAAAACTGGAAACAGCCCAGGTGTCCAGAAACAGAACTGACAAAGAAATACAACAACGGGGTTATGGAATACTACTCAGCAATGAAAGGGAACAAATTACTGACATATAGGAAGAGCATAGATGAATCTCATAGACATGGGGCCAAATGAAAAAAGCCAGACACAAAGGAGAAATACTGTATTCCACCTGAAATCTAAACCAGGCAAAACTAATCTATAGTGAAGGAAATCACATTAGATGTTGTTTTGAGGGAGAATGACTGGGAAGTACATTAAAGAACTTTTGCAGGTGATTGGAATGTTCTGTATGCATTTGTCAGAACTCATTGAACTCTATTTTTATTATTATCTTTTTTTATTTTTGAGACAGAGTCTGGCTTTGTCACCCAGACTGGAGTGCAGTGGCACAATCATGGCTCACTGCAGCCTTGACTTCCTGGGCTTAAGTAATTCTCCCACCTCGGCCTCCCAAGTAGCTGGGATTACAGGCACACACCACCACACTCAGCTAATTTTTAAAATTTTCTGTAGAGATGGAGTCTCACTATGTTGCCCAGGCTGGTCTTGAATTCCTGGGCTCAAGTGATCCTCCCACCTCGGCCTCCCAAAGTGCTGGGATTACAGGCATGAGCCACCTTGCCTGGCCTCATTGAACTCTATGCTGAAAATGGATATATTTTGCTTTATGTGTAATATACCAGAATAAGAACTGTGTGGCAAAAGAAAAAAAAAAGAAGGCCTCAAACATAATTCTAAACGTTTGTGTTTGTACAAATTCTTATTGGTTGGGGAAATTATTTTGAAAAAATTCTTTTTTTCTGAAATTAAATCCCTAGGCCCTGAATCTCCATCTCCCACTGCAGGAGTCCTGGCAACCACCTCAGTGCCAGTGGGGTCAGGAACAACTCCTGTTTGGAGCTCAGTGAGGGGCTTTGGGGAGGGGAATAGGGGAGTGCATTTTATATTTCAATTCACTTAAATTGTTTAAAAACTTTAATTCCTAGGCATTATTTGAAGACAGACTTCTGGCTCCATCGTTCAACGTTTATAAAAAGATGAGAAAAATGCCAGCAAAAGCTCGTTGCTTTCGCAGGATAGGGGGAAGGAGGGGAAGGGTAGGGGACACAGCCCACTCAAAGGCAATGCTTTCTCCCCCAAGAACTCATAGACTCACTTCACACCCATCTCAACTGGCACTTCAGCCAAGTACCTTACAGGTACCTGACACTTTAAAGCATGAAGGCCTTTAAAGTGATTTAGGTTTGGTTTGGTTTTGTGACAGGGTCTCGCTCTGTCACCCAGGCTGGAGTGCAGTGGTGCAATCACAGCTCACTGCAGCCTCGACCTCCTGGGCTCAAGCGATCCTCCCAGAAAGCTGGGACCACAGACGCATGTCACAGCGCCTGACCTGCTTGATTTTTTATCATTATCATCACCACCATATATTTAAACCATTAGAAGTACCATGTATTAAAACAAAAATTAAAACCCAAACTAGCTGATTATAGTTCTCTGACACCCCCCTTGTAATTATCCATCTGGAAAAAAATGTAAAGCTATCAAAGTACTTGTTGATTTTTATTGTT